CTCATGCTACATCTTGTTTCACCAGAAATGGCCATAAAACATTGCTACTTATGTGAAAGATTTGTATAGAGTTGAAGTTACAAAAGAAACGCTTGAATAAGCAATCTAACTTGCTGTTGTTCCACATCACCATTTGTTACTGAGCTTTCAATTCTGTGCACAACACTTCTGTTTCAAAGCCCAGCAGCCAGTCAGAGAGTCTTAACGTAGTTCTCTCCACTATAAACATGTCTGTTGACTTCGTTTGAATTAATTTTTCATAGCTCAGGCACCAAAAAACAACAACAAAAAAGTCTCTGCTAAAATCAGAAGCAGAACTCCTTGGAAGTTTTATATACTGTGGGCTGAAAACATGGTCATAGATTTGCAGAAAAGGAAGATTTTGATTTTATAATGTTGTTTTCTGAAATTTAGAAAATTAACTGACAATCCAGCAGAATTAAGAATACCATTTAGATGGTTTCCTGGAAGAGAGAGGTAAGCAACATAAATGAATTTTTAAAAGTTACATTCCTGCAGTGCAGTATTTCAGGGCCTGCATGGAATGAGCGAAGAACTCCTCTCAAGTGTTTTTAAGGCGAAACTGGACTCACTGAATGAATTAAAGCTATAGTCAGGAAAATGCCATCCCTTAATAGTGTTTCACTTGTTTTATGTTATCAGTAACCTCTTTTTTGCTATTCTTTGGACACCCTAAAATCTCACAGTAAGTTTTGCAACTGTGGCTGGAAATTTCTACACATTAAGAAACTGATGTCCTTGTAAGGCTGCCAGTGGTGTTGCATCACACATATACCAGCATGAAACTGCATGGCACTATCAGCAATATTTCAAAGACTTCCTCTGGTTTATTCTGTCAATATAGGCCTGACCTGAAATACTTTTCTTATTTTAGCCCTAGCCCCACAAAAAGCACATGAATCATGACCATCAGAACTACTTCCAGACCTATAAGTCCACCAATGCATATTAGGTTGTCCCTGCAATACGCTGCCATATTGAATAATTACACTTGAAACTCATTTTTCATTTTGAAAGCCCATTTAGATACCAATTATTTTTTTTCTTGTGTGCTACTGAAAAGAGTTCATTGCACCTATACACTGGTTGAATAGTGGAAGGAGGGTAACATAGATTGGAAGAAAGCTCTGGAGATCTGTAACTCAGCCTCTTCACCAGAGCAGAGTTAACTTCAAAGTTACGTCAGATTATCCAGATCTTTGGCCATTTGAGTTCTGAGGATGAAGATTCCATAGCCACTCTGGGCAAAATGTCACACTGCTTATTCGACTTTAGTCAGAGCAATCAGATGATCCCTAGACCCTCTCTTCTCCATGTTGAAAAGCCCAACCTTTTCAACCTCATCCAGATGTGGTCTCCAGTGCCGAAGAGAGGGGAATAATCACTTCCCTTAACTAGCTGGCTGCATTCTTGCTTAGGCAGGCCATTAAGCAGCAAGCATTCATAACTGCTCAAGAATATTTCTATAATGGTAAGAAGCAACTACAAATAGAAAGCAAACCCAAAGTCTAAATAGGCCTTATTGCACAGATCTCATCATATTACTCCACAAATATCACCACGACTCAGGATTAATAATGGTCATAGTAAGGTCAAAACCCAAACAGCTCTTCACAAGTCCCATAGCATCTCCTCTGTGGTGGCCAGCAATAGGACAAGGGCTAATGGGTATAAGTTAAAACACAGGAAGTTTAATCTTCATATGAGGAAGAACCTCTTTCCTGTGAGGGTGCCAGAGCCCTGGCACAGGCTGCCCAGAGACACTGTGGAGGCTCCTTCCCTGGAGATCTTCAAACCCCCATGGATGCCACCCTGTGCCCCACGCTCTGGGTGTCCCTGCTGAAGCAGGGGTTGGACTAGAGGATCTCTGGAGGTCCCTGCCAACCTCAACCATCCTGGGATTCTGTAATGGCTATAAATTGAAACACAGAAGTTTAATTTCCATATGAGAAAGAACTTCTTGACTGTTAGGGTGATAGTGCACTGGAACAGCCTGCCTAGAGAGGTTGTGGAGTCTCCTTCTTTGGAGATACTCAAGATCCGAGTCTCCTTCTTTGGAGATACTCAAGACCTAAGATCTCTAGAGATGCCTTCCAACTTGAATCATTCTGTCATTGTAAGAAATAATTAATATACATTTACCCCTCCTAATCCAAAAGAAACAAACAGCTAAAGTTTACTTTGAATGTTCTAGATAAATGTGTGTCTCAATTTGTAAAGACCTTCAGTATAAAAGAGTCTATGACCCTGCTGGCTAACAGTCCAGTATTAGACCCTCTTACAGTTTTTCCATTATTACAGGTTAAGGCCATTACTCCTATCCACAGGAGATGTAAGAACAGCTTTCCAAGGTTTTTCCAATGAGGGATTACTTCATGAACAGAGCAACAGCTTGAGAAACAAAACACTCATTTGAAATACAGTGCTCAAGATAATGGCTAACATTAGAAAGCTCACTTAGGCTTTGCATGCGAAGAAGCTACATTTTGGAGCTACCAGTGTATTTCATTACTCTCTGCAGTATGTTTTGTCCTCCTACATCCCAACTAGTAACTAATCACCATTCCTTCAACCATTTAAAAATAATGATTTCTGGATTTCTACTCATTCTTGTTTCTGTCCTCTTGGTCCACATTGGTCAAGAGCAGTGCCCCCAAATGGGACTTCCAGCAGATGTCTCAATAGAACTAGGGAGAAGTGGAAAAATTACTGTACATGTTTTATAAATGATACTACTGCTAAAAGTTCCAAGTACCTTTTTTTTTTTTTTTTCCTCTCTCCTTTCTCTCAGATGTCCCAACTTGTTGCAATGGATTTTGAAAAACTAGTAAAGAACAAATCCCAGCTCACTGCATGACTAGGACAAATACCACACCATTCCCATGATCTCACTTTGGACCTTTAGGTCTTAGTACATTAAGTAATATTGTGCCTAGAAAACTGCCACAAAAATTAATCATTAAGGAAAGATTTGTCCAATTTTGATTTGATCTAACAGGCACATGCAGTACCTTAACTATACAATTCTCAGAGAGACACTTGATTTTTTTCCCAAATAAAGTAATAAAGTTTGGGCTATATCCAGATTTGCCTTTCCCATTTTTTTTTCCTCTTCTCAATAAAAGGAGGAAAGTATTTAAAATGATAGCATTAACATCAGAGAGAGATGTCGGCACTCCTCTTATCTGTTGGATATTTCTGCTGGCAAGAGCAAAAGTACCTTACATAGCTCACAGATCCTTAGATGGTGATTGCAGGACTATAATATTAGTAGCACTCACATCAAAAATCAGTGGAAGGGGGCAGGACCCACTCCTGTACTTGCATGCTTCTAGAAGAGTCAAATATTATGATTACTTTGCAAAGTATGCTTACCTTGGCCGGTATTGTTTTGAGGACTGAGAATAGAAGGACTTGATTTCGTTTCTAAAGCGTGCCAAGTATCTTGGCAGGAACTAGTTGTTCTAGATGAAGAAAGCCAGACCTGCTGGGCTTGACTAAGACTCTCCCCGAGTGGCTGACTTTCAACGAGTGCTGAGGATGTACATGCCTTTTGTTGTGCTGCCCCACAATTTTCAATAGAGGAATCTAGCTGAACCTGTGAAATTCAAACACAATTTTACAAAGATATACACTCTTCATATCCAAGTCATCTGGTAATTGTGGGATCCTGGCTTTAAAAAAAGGTATAGGTTTCAGCACCATAGAGACATGCAGAAGCAGAAAGACATTACTTCTAATTTTCTATGTAAGTATATATAAGTCTTCCAGAAAATTATTTTTGAACTACAACTGAAGGATCCAACTGAGGACAAGTTTGATGATACAACTGTACTGTAGCTCAGTGCATAGCAGTTCTATTTTTTCCCTACTGCTTCTTGGAACTTCTTCTTTTAAACTAAGGCAAGCATTTAGAGAAGTGAGCCTTAAGAGATGCTAATTGCTTTACATAATGTTGCTCCTTATATGAAATGTTACATTAACATAAATAATCCACAGCCTCTAAAAATACTTGATTTATAGCTCAGTGTGCTGCTACACTATTAAAAATAATCATTATAAATAATATTAAATAAAATTATGTTCTATTTGGATCAATAGGGCCCAATCTTGCCTCCTAATAATTTCTTATGAAATCTGTTCATTAAATCTTATTGCAGTTATTTTCATTGTGTTTGTTATTCAAGTTTATATTTACAGGGATATTCTTCCCTTTCATTTTCCCCCCATGATCAAATTATAGAAGAAAACATGTAGAGAAGTACTTAGAGAAAGAGAGATTAATCAAAAAAAAAAAAAATTAGGTTACCCCACAAAGTGTTGTGAATTTTCAACATGCAAAAATTAAAATGAGATTTGATGGAAAGTTAACTGCTTCAGCCCTGTCAAAGGAGATTAAAATATACATCAAAAATCTTTGGCCCTATACTAAAGAAACAAGACATGAACCCATCACAAAGTAACTGATGTTTCATATTACCAGACAGAGATCTTTTTATATAAAAAGAGAAAAGCATTGAACTTCAGTCTCTTACATATTCTTAGATCAACCCTAATAAGCCACAAAAAAAAAAAAAAAAAAAAATCTTGTTGCACATTTCAGTTAAGACAAATAAGAATCCCCTTCACGGAGTGAATAAAAAATAAGCAGTATCCTAGAGAGGAGACTAGTTTTAACTCAGTTGATTTCTTCCCCCCAAAAGGGGGCAAACATATTGCATTAACTGTCTAACAGGCTGAGAACTGACTGTCTGGAAAGCAGCACAGCAGAAAAGAGCTTTGGAGTTCTGTGGGACCGGAGTCGGCAACGTGCCCTGGTGGCAAAGAAGGTATATGGCAACTTTGGCTGGAGCAGGAGGTAGGTGGAGGGAGGTGATTACTCCCCTCTATTCAGCACTGACATGACCACATTTGGAGTACTGTGTCCAATTCTAAGTTTTCCAGTACAAGATAGACATTGACACACTGGAAGGAATCTACAAAGATGATTAAGACATTGGAGGATCTGACATATGAGGAGAGGTTGAGTAAGCTTCAGTTGTTTAGCCTCAAGAAAAGAAAGATCAGAGAGGATGCAACTCTGTGCCACATGCTCTAGTTGTCCCTGCTTAAGCAGGGGGTTGGACTAGATGATCTCTAGAGGTCCATTCCAACATCAACTGTTCTGTGATTCTGTGATCAGGAGGGATGAGGAGAGGGGTGATGCAAGGGGGAGTTTGGGGTATAGTAAAAGAAGATTGAGACAGACTTCTCTCGGTTGTATCCCATAGAAGAACAAGAGTCAACGGGCAGCAATTAAAATACTTGAAATCCCACTTAAACACAAGGAAAGAAAAACAAACAAGCAAACCAAAAACAAAATAAAACAACACTCATTTAGCAGGAGGGTGATCAAATATTGAAACAGGTCAGGCAAAGAGGGTCCCAGAGGAAGTATTTCCCCAAGTGAACTTGGTTAATAATTCTACTGGAGTTGTATGCCTCAGAGCAGCAACCTCACCCTTTCTGAAAGAACGTTGTTTACTGCCCTCTAAACTAAAGCGACAATCAGCTGCTCTGACTCAATCATCACAGGAATCAATTAAGTAAAGTACATAGTGAAATCCTGACTCCCCTGAAGTCATTGAGAGGTAACTCAATGCACTAACTTTGGGAGGAGTCAAGATTTATGCATTTCTCTAATTAAAATTCCAATTTAACTATTGAAAAAAATGTATTTTAATTATAAAAGACTACAAAGAGATTAGTTATGCATTCTATCTTCATATATGTAAACATGCTATTGCAATAATTTGGATGAGTGCTTTATAACCCCACTGTTGTGAATATTTGGAAATAGGCTCAGTGATTAATCATTTTCAAGTTTATCTTAGAACATATTGCAAATACCTTCAAATGGTTTTATCCTACTCACTTAAAACTAAGCTTTATGAAACTTATATTTTAATTCAGCATTTCTGCAGAATGAATAATGTAGTTCTGCTCTAGTAACACAAACGGTTCTGAAATGTCTTGGGTGAATACCACATTTAAAAAAGTGAGCTGTCAAGTTCCAAGTATAATCCCTCAAGTATAAATCTTCCAAAGAATCAAAGAAGGACTTTGACAGGGTTTAGCTCAAAATATCTAAATGCAAACAGTTTTAAGGGAAGTTATGCACTTAGAAATAGAATTGCCTTAAGAGATCATTATCACTAAATTCCAGAACAGTATGTCATTACCTGTGTTGCAAGCTTGCACTGTAGATGCTCTAAAGCGGAAAGCTGACACTGTGCTCTTTTTATAAGCTCTCTTGGTAAAAGACTGCTAGAGGCAACACAAACTGTGCAGCACTTAGAGCCATTAGGAAGCCAAAGTCCTATAAAGAGTGAGAAAAATATTGAGGAAAACATTCTCTCTGTTGTTATTCCACCATCAGTACTGCATTCTCTGCAGGTGTTACAGCAGGCATAAAAGAATCACAGAACAGCAGCTTCTTATTGTAGACTAGTTCAGCAATACATGTGAACAGTCCTAGAAACACCTCTTCCTGCTTTTTCCCCTTGCTTCACTGCTGGAGTGATTGTTGAATAGAATTTACATATCTACAGTGAAATTTACTTATATCGTATCTACTACATATCTACAGTGAAATTTACTTATATTGTATCTACTTTCAATGCAAGCTTACTTTACAAGAAAAACTATTTCTCTTTCTTTTCCATTTGAACGAAAAAATATTTTTCATTCATATTTTTCATAGATAAAATACTACTTTTCTGACCTTAAACAATGAAAGTCTTAATTTAACTTCTGGTTCCCACACTGAATCTAAGCCCCAGGGAAACCTTCCTCACAATGCTCATCCTCTCTGAATTACTGCTTACAGACTGACCTTGTTCTATTTCAGCACCTTCTATCACAGAATAATTTTACTTGTAACACTTAGTACCACAGTCTCACAAACCATCCAGCTCAAAAATCTGTCAGGTCCAGCACTTTGCTTTTTCTTTCCAGCTCAAAAGGTGAAATGATTTCCAGGTTTTAGCTTTATTCTAAATATGTGAGCAATCATTTTTCTGTAGAATAAGTTTACCTTTCTTTGATACCATTCCAAGTTCTGCTCTGAGCTTGTTTCCCATTTCAATTAGCTGCTGTTTCTCTTGACTCAAAAGCAAGATTTTTCTCACCGCTTCCTTCAGTTTATTCCGTATTCCTAGTAGATTGCAACCCATACCGTATGGAAGACCATCACTCAACTCTGTATCAGACAACTGTTGCAAATGGTCTACCATCCTTTCTTTAAGGACTTTGGGTTTTGGGTCCTGAAAAAAAAAACAGATAGCATTTATAATGAATATTTTAAAAGCATGGTCTGGGCAGTATAGAGATTGATACAAACATGCATTAGAAGCCAGTAGAGAAAAGGTGTAAGTGAAGCCCATTTTTGAGAGGCATTTTTTTCATTTGCTTGTTAGCAGTACAGAACAAATTAAACCATGTACCAAACTATTATCGTGACCTTGGAAGTTCCCACAAGTATGCTCTGTCTTGTTAACTGTAAGTGTAAAATAATACATGTAAGAAAAAAAATGTACAACTGTTCATTAGAGAGCAATTGATTTTAAGATAAAATGTGGAAAATAAAAAGACTTCATAGCAAATAGCAGATTACCACAAACTCTTCTTTGTGTAATGTATATGCACACATGTGGAATGGGTATGATGTACAGTAATATTAAAAGAAAGAGAGGCTAATAAATTAAGATTATAGAGCTGGTTTTGTCTCTGCAACCCTAACTGAGCTCACTTGCACATATGCATTATGATTTAGTGTTTAATGAAAAGATCACACATTTTAATTGCTGCATGCTGGCCTTTCAGCCCCTTTACTACAGAAGGTACATTTTCAACAGTAATTTAAACAGTCATCATTCACTGAACAAATCAACTTCGTACAGACTTTGTTTTTTTAAATGCTACACATTACCACAAGTATGTAAATATTGCAAAACTATTTTAATGTGTGTGAAGTAGTCTTATGGATTTATTTTACACTTTTATATATAAGCTATACTGTAATTGTACAGTCTCAATCAACACACAAACTACACTTTTCTTCAAGAAGTACACGCTGATTGAAGTGTCACTGGTAGGGAGATGTAGTCTTAGTACATCACGTGACTCCCAAACATTCCTTTATTCCTTTTGGATGGTTGTATATTGAAAACATACACAGAAAGTACACAGGTCGGCAAACATTACTGGGGAAGAGGGTAGAGAAATAAGGGCAGGGCTAGGATATGTAAATATAGAAGGGACCACAGTGAAGGGAAAAAACAGACACACACTATCACTTAGGTATACATACAGCAATTTGTATCAAATCAATCAATGTAAGAAGCTGCAAATGATTACATTTCTCACCTCATCATTCCAATCATGAAATCAAAGCACTGAGGTTTCTGAGGTTCATTACAAGAAGAGGTGAAGGTCACACCCAAGCATGGAGCACTGCTGGCCATGCTATGTGCCAAAGGCAGGAGTAC